CAATGGAAATTTAGGAAAGAAAAATTGACCAACACTTTTATCAGTGCGATGTGACTGATTAAATAGTAGTCAAGTTTGGGGGAAAACAAAGTCAGGATCAGGTCCCTCAAATTTGACCTAACTGACGAATTATTCAGGAATGGGTGGGTTAGTTCCCTGGGAACCATCATTGTAAAATTTGGTGGCAGGCTGAGTCGCTGTCAGTTTGACCTCAAACACCTGAACCAAGGCTCAACTATGTTTCTGATGGTTGGCGTGACAGCATTTAGCCCAATAAGCGGTGGGAATCCTCTAGGCCACCCCACATAGGGGTGGACCCATTTGGTTGGGAACGGGTTTGGGATGCCCAACCTGCCCATGCTCGGTCATGGGCCATTCATTTGGTCAATGGCATTGCATCAGGTGCAACACCCAATTTGTCAGCAGGAAGCTGCCCATCAGGGGTGATGCCCGATGGATTTGGGAGGAGAGAGATTTTTCTGATTGTCATGTTAATCAAGAAAACACCTGTCAGGCATTTAAGCTGATGATCAGTCTTCATACCTTTTTGACCATTTAAAATCTGAGCATCAGGTGGATTGCCACTTGAATTGGTTATGATCAATTTTATTTTGGTGATCTTGATGCATATTTCATGTATTCCTCATAACAGTTCTGCTGAGGTTAGTGTGGGTACTGGAAATGGGATTCAAAGTGGGAGAGCTGTTACCCAGCGCTTGTCTACTATGTGAGCAAGATCGCCCTGAGTAATGAGGGGTACAGCCAGCCTCTTTGGTGCCTTCTTACTTAGAAATGGGAAAATGGCCCAGTCAACACCCAGAGATGTTCCCTGGGACTTACAGGTTGGTAGTGCGGCATATTGATAAACTGGTTGCAGCATGCTTGCCAGGCCAAAATTTCTGAGGAAATAGTAACTGCCAGTTTTTATTACTAATTTTATCTATTCTGCTGGACTCAAAGGGGCATTTATGAAACTTGGTTGATGTGGGGCCAACACCTGTGCCCTTAACTTTACTGACCCAACTGCTCCCCAGAATTAAGTGCCAACTAATCTTCATGATGAGATTATCAAACTTTACCTAAACTTAAATTGAATTTGTTGCAAAAGTGTTTAGAAACAAAAGAGAAAAGCTTATTTTTTAAATTATCATTTAAGAGTCCTCTATCATTGAGGTCATTAAACGTGACCCTTGGGTGGTGTCAACTTTAGGAAAGCAGTAACCACAGATTTTAGTATAAATTTTGGAAAAATAAATAAAATAGGAAACTTTAGGGCAATAGTTTTATTTGGAAAAATTAAAACCTTACCCCAGCACCATACAATGGGTAGGATGCTGGGTTTTAGGCTGTGCTAGGTTAGGGGAAGGCTACTAAGCTAAACTTCCTTGATAGGGAATGATTGCAAATTTCAAAACTTAAACTATTAGTTTTAAACACTGGTTTTCTCTTCAATAGTATTATCTGACATTCTCACAATAATTTAAGTCAATTTTCTCATATTTCATATGATAAAATTTGCTTTATCTATTTTGAAATAGTTTCTGGGTTTAATCCCCATTTATACCTTTCCTTTGCTACTTTTTAACAAAATTTAACTTTTGTAAATGATTTTCCCCTTTCAGGTTGGCTCCTGATTGTAACGCCTGCTGTAGGAGAGTCATGGACCCCTGGTTTTGAAGGTTTTTGAGATTTCTCAAATCTACACAAAGTTGTTTGATCTTCTTTAATAAAATTTGTAGATTTTGAGACTTGAAGTGATATAAGCTTAGGAGTTGATGGGGAAAAAGCATGTGGCCAACAGTGAGGGGCAGCAGCCACCTATCTCTCATCCAAGGTATGCCCTAGGTCAAAGATCTGGGTAAGTGTCAGGTCCTTGGGGTCTAAACCCTTCTTAGTTCTAAATGAATGAATAATCCTATCCAGCTTGATAGCTGGAACCAATGGCCTTACAGTATGCTCTACTTGTAGTATAAGTATAAGATAATAAAATGTATATCCCTAGTACTTTCTTTTAAAATACAGGCTACTAAAAGCAAGAGACGTACTATAATTATTTTTCAATTATACCATACAGTTCAAGATAACTTTCTATAAAATTGAGTGATACAAGAGACTAAAGATCATAAAAACACCATTATAGAACTTACTGATTAAGCCTTTAGTAATGTTAAGCACCAGGAACACAATTTTAGAGTCTTCTTTAGTAAGATTGAATAAGGGTGGTAAGGTCCCTTTTCCTTCAAACTTACAATGAAAAGTAGATAATATATCATAAAGTTGCATGAGCACTGAGACCTACACCTAATCATGCCATTTATTTTCCTTATTTGGTGAATTTTTATACAAAACAAAAAAAACTAATATTAGTTAATAGTGTCAGAAGTTTGATTTTGGATCCATCATGTTAGTGTTTGTGAGTCAGGGTAATTATTTAAATTAACTATGTCATATAACTAATTACCCTACATACATAAAGATTTAGTGCCATAAAAAGATGTATTACGTTTAATTATTATACCAGCCTTCTATTCCTCTCACTATAAAGCTCCTCAAAATATTATATCAATTTCTTCCTTAATTTTAGATTTTTGCTTACAAGACTGAAAAATATGTCCTATTTAACTTCCTGGAAGAAAAATCAACATAATTTACATTAATATATGCTATAAGGTCGATGGTAAATCATTCACTTTGATCTCAATATACACCCACTTTGTAAAAATGAGGAAAATAACATATATTTCCTTAAATTTGGACTTCTTATGATCAGTCCATAAGATGTTGTGAAAGATTCTAATATATGCCACAAAATCATATAATGAATTATTAGAAGCCATCTATAATTGATAGAAGGACTTCTTAAAACTAATGTTTTACTTGATGTATTTTATTTTTTTATATATTTTCAATAATCCAAGGCTCTACTTAGCAACCCTGAAGTGTACCAATAATAATTTTTGCTTAAGGATAACCATCTAGGACTCTAAAGTTGCATATATCTCTTCAATAGATATAATATAATTCCAAGTAACACCTTTTTCTTTTTTTATCCTTTAAAAATTTAAACTATATAAACGTCTCTTAATGTGAGTTATATCAAATAAACTGCCCTTTCATAATGGCTCTTTATTTTTATAAAATTAATTTAGTGGCATAATCCCAACCTGTTTCATATTGTATTACTCACTCCTTTAAGAGATGTTGCACTAATATATGATTTAGAATATACAAATACACTTTTTATAGTGCTTTAATCTATTTAAGACTCCTAAGGTCAAGGCTTGTTACTTTTAGTGGGAACAGCATCCTACTACCCCTCACAATGCAGGTTCAAATCCAGTTGTGGCAAAAGGTAATACTTCTGTTCTAAAAGGATAGCAATATATATGGAGTTGCACACCATGCCTTAGCTCAGCCAAGTAAATTGGTGAAGGTAGATCATACAATCTCAGCCTATTAAATCATGTGCAGGAAGTTTTACTCCTAGTACTTGGATTTTTTCCTCCATTCCTATATCAACTCACTATCCTAAATTGGTATGACATATGTCCCTAGGTTGACCCATCTTATATAAATTACTTGCTCCATGGGTCGTGCCAACTTTTAAGGGAATATTTCTATATTTTTATTAATTGTGAGAGCTTATGATCATGTATCTAAAAATTATTAGCAGTTAAATACTTTATGAACAAAATAGGACCAATTGCTTTTTCCATTAAGAATAATATGAGTGACTTCTAGATTAATATGCTTTATTGGACTTTTCAATTGATTTGACCTATTATTCCCAATATATTTTATTATAAGATAAGAACATAAACAGCCAACTTATTAGAGATCATCCTACCCTTAGCTGCACCACTAATCTCATACCATTTATAATATCTCAAAAAGCTCAATAATGTGAGTTTTATTAGAATTGTTTCAAAAAGCTCTGTTGTCCACCTCGATTTTGTAAATACTTATTCTGAAAGCCTGAATTGAAGTTTGTTAGTTTTTTTATGAAAGCCCTGTTTTAATTATAATGCCTTATAAACACTCATTTAGTTATAAAAATCAACAAAATGTCTTACAAGTAGCAACTTTAAAAAAGAATGAAATTAAGCTAAAATATTATCTATTAACTAGCAATATAAGCTTATTGTTTGAGATCTATGGCAGTAGCTATATAGATCACATAATATATGCCAACTTGATGGTAAATTAACTTTCCAATAGTTTAAATATCAGCAATTATTATTCTAATTAAACCTTAAATGACTGCTAAGTTCATCTTTTCTTTTATATTAAATTTTATTCAAGGTGGGCCAACCTGGGGACAATACCACACTGATTGAGGGAAAATTGAATGAATGAGAAAGGAGGATAAAATCCAGAAAACCTCCATGCGTGGTGTATAATAGGCCAGGAACTCCATGTACCGCCTTTACTATTCGCTATAACAGTTTGGGGCATTGGTACACAACGCCAACACAGTCATAGTTGTCCCCTACCCAAAGTTCCTGTACCAGAATTGAACTCGGGGAAGCAGTGGTAGAGGTCACTATTCTACCACTGGGAGTATCCCCCCATCTTTTCTTTTAAAGGTTCTAGTCAGTTTCACATCACTCAACCATTTAACGTTTCATTGTAATCTACCAATACTTAATATAAAGCTTTTTTGTACCATCAAAGCTCATTTTAATTTATAGAGTTCAGTTAGCTTTTTAAAATGAACTTGAACTACACTGACTTAGTTGATCACTTATATTTTTTACTTGAACTACAGACTAATTCTAGTAAAGCTTTTTTTACCTCAATGTCATTTGACTTTTGCATGGGGTCTAGGGTTTTTGCTATGTCATTAAATTATATGCTTAAAATATTAATAGCCTACTTGTAAAATTTAAATCAAGAGAAAATCTGTTAATTAGGAAATATCTTTATATAATTAACATAAAGGATAAATAGGAGTGTAAAAAGATACATAAAAAGTGTCATCTTAATTTACAGGTTTATATAAAAAATCTGACAACCTGGGATTGAACCAGGGACCTAAGGATAACTAATAACATTACATTCCTTTGATCTTCCAACTGAGCTATATTTTTTTAAAAAACTCAATGATTTATTAAATAAATCTAAGGGAAAGTAAGAGGGGAGGGCGGAATACAGGCGATTCAGCTGAGGGTAAAAAAAGATTGGGGATTTGGGCCACTAGAGGTCTAGCACCTATGACCATTGCTGATTGGCGATTGCCATCACTAGCCATGGTTCTAGCAGCGGTGGGCTTACAGGCCATACTATTCTCATATGATTAGTAGCTTCATCGTGTGCAATGAGCAATCTGGCGGGGAAAGCCAAATGCATGGCCTTATAACATCCGGGGATTAAGCGCGAGAATTTTGAGATCCAGTGGAGCTGATTGGAGATAATCTGAATGGTATTCAGTACAAAACCTCTGTGATGGGGGCGCTCGTTGCTCATAACCTTGGCAACAAGTGCACAGTGAATTACCCATACACAATAATGGTAAATGAAGGCTCATAGTTGGATCAGAGCTGTTCTCAGGGTTTTCATAAAGAACAGGTCCTGCAATGGATGTATATCCAGAGGTGAATGATCGCCTGATAGGATGTATCACATCATGGACCAGTATTTTTTGAACACAGCGCATTCATATTAGCAAAGTGCTATATTTGCTTCCAGTTCAGCGCATATGGGGCATTCTTTGTGCTGGTAATCCAGCCCGCTGTGCTTGCCCAATTTGAATGCCCAATTAAGGATCCTGTCAAGAGAGTATCTGTAATTCTCTCGTTCCCAGCAAGGTGATGTGGGATGCAAACCCACATTGCTAGGGAACTAGCTGTTAGAATGGGAAGACAAGCACCTCGAGCAGTGCCAGTGCAAAAGGTGCCTCAGGCAAGTGTATAAATAGTAACATAAAATACCAGGTAAGTAAGAAACAACACTGCTTGAGTGGACCCCAGGGGGCGTCCATAATCAAGTGTGGCTTGATGTCAGAGGCTTTGGGTGCCTTGATCTGGAGGGGACCTGGGCGGCCCACAGGTGCCCCTGGGATTTTGGTAAATTGCGAGATAAGGTAGTGGCCCACATGGTTGGAGACCTCCCTGAAGAGGTCCACCACCAGGTTTGCCCAAGGAACCATGGTAAAAACGTAAAATAACAGGGTGTTTTTTATTAAGAAAGTCGATCAACAAGGAGTGTTGATCACAAAATCCTATTTAAAATGAATCAGGGAAATTTGGGTTCTGCGGAAATGCGCCCAAGCCTTGACGTTCCAATAAACAGACGCTTCCATCCGTTTTGGTAAAATACACAGAAAGTGCCTTCACTTGAGTAATCGATTGAAGCCTTATTTTACCTGAAGTCAAAATCTCATAGCTGGAGTGGGACTCGAACCCTTGCTCTCCAACCAAGCTAATTGAACCATCCTTATTCAAAACATAAATCGTTTGTTTTAGGGCCTGAGCTGAAATAAGAGGCTGGGCGTTTTGCACACCATTAGTATCAACCTGGGCTTGCTTGGCTTGCACCCAGCGTTGATCTAAGGTGTGCTTCAAGTCAGAAGAGCCTGAAGCTTCATCTTCTGGGCCTCCTGTCGCCCAGCCTTGTCCCTAGCATCAGCGCCTACTATCATGTCAATTAACCATGACAGATCCACAATGTTACCAACTGCTGTTTGGCTGTAACCAAGCGGGTGTTTAGGCCCAAAATCAACTCCTTTGTCGGGTAGTTGGTGTCATGGCCTTTGGTAGTCCAGTCATTAAGGATTTATGGGCGGGTGGGTGGATTGCACCCTCACCAGTAGTGTGGGGCTCCTTTTCGTGAGGTTATCTTTGGGTGGTTCACCATCCATTTGCATAATGATTGGGGGGAGACTGGCTCTTGGAGGCCTTGAGCCCTTGCCCAGTTCACACCCCATGCTAGAGTCAGGCAGCGCATGTGCATCTGTGTTAGCTTCAGAAATGACTTCCCCCATATGCGCTGGGTGTGAGATTCAAAGTCCAGTAGGCCCATGCCTCCTTCATTCTTTGGTTTTGACAGGGCTTCCAGTGGAATTGGTGCCACCTTTGCCTTGAACCACAGGAAAGTTTGGAGCATTGACCTGATTTTCTTCTCTAGGTTTGGGCTCATTGGCAGCATGTGAGCAACATACCATAGCTTTGAGAAGATGAAGATGTTTATCACCTGCACTTTCTCCTTGAGGCATAGTCTGGCACTTTTCCAGCATGACATTTGGAATGATAAGCTTGTTAATACTTCTTGTTTGGTCTCCAGTACAGCTGGTCCCTTGTCATTGAAGAGTATCCTGAGGTATCAGACTGTCTGGGAGCTTGTAATTGGCGTTGTGTCAGTTGGCGGGCTGAAGTTTGGGTTGCTGACCCTCATCACTGAGGTTTTTGCCAAATTTATTTTTGCATTTGATGCAAGCTGGTAAAGGTTTAATAGATCCTCAGCGCCCTGGAGGTCAGTCAAGGAGCTTATTCCTACAACTGTATCATCCACAAATGCTAGCATCTTCAGTGGCATTTGGTTAGGGTGGACTAAACCCTGAAGCTAGAATGTTAGCTGCAAAGTTGAAGAGTATCAGTGACATGGGGTCTCCTTGGTGGAGACCTTGCCCAACAGAGATTTTGTTGGTTGCGCCATCTGTGACCATAACCTTCATTACCAGACCTGAGTATAGCATCATTATCCATGCCCAAAACATGTCAGGGATACTGACCACCTTCAGTGCCTCATGTAGGAATGACCACACTACTTGGTCA